TTACTCCCTCAAACATTTCTCCACACACACGTATTGTTTACCTTATCGCTTTTCAATTCAATATGCCATTGTCCGAACGTCTAGGAAAAATCTTCAAATGAATCACTTCAAAAGATAAATTCATTGCATAAACATCATTTATTTTTCTTCGTAAAGAAAAGGGTGCGCGTTACATGGCGAATATACCTAAAAATTAATAAATATAATAGATTGAAATTATAGGTGCGCGTTATACGCCGGAATGTATACAATAATAATACGTCAGAATAAAAATAAAAACTAATAACTAAAAAGGTAATAAGCCCTTATTATCTTTTCAATTGTTAGCAACATTTATGCATTATCTATATTATGTATGAGCCTGATCCACTTGAATACCAAGCCTAATGAACAGTTAAGAATTTTATGTCAGAAAAATCCACTTGTTAAAATCATTTGAATAACCGAGATATTAAAATATGGGCAAGATTCGTTATAACAAAATGTGTAAGTGCATATTTTTTATTTTTACTACTTGCATATAAATGCGACGAAGTCATTTAATTCAAAATATATCATACGTTTTAAAAGGTTCAGGAGAGACCGTTTTCGTTAAGTCGTAAAATCAAACATTTTTTAAACACCACTATTGACTCATTATTGCGTCGTTTTACACTGTATTTTAACTTGGCAGCTTTCCAGCAATACACTTTTTAATACTGACTTCAAAAATTTTGCATATAATCGCATTCCTAGCAGTAAACCGTCGTATCTTTAAGTACACAAATAATTAATCATCTATTATTATTTCTCGAAGTTGCTCTATTCAAACTAGCCTTCTGTAGCCACTACAGTGCGCTTACTGATAGCCAAAGGGCAACAGAGCCTAAATCTTAATTCTTTATTTTACGCAGGAAAGATATGCGTCAAGATGTTGATAGATCATATTCAGATTTTCTTAAGAAGATAGGTAAGAAATGAGCAAAGTAAATAGAGCTTTTAATTTAAATCGCGATTGCTTTTTTGTTTACCTTGCGGTTTTTCTTTTTAAATATGAATTCCAGGATAGTTAATCTGCTTTATATATGCTTAGTTTCAGTATGATTTCGATGAATTTATACGTGAAATTAAGGATAATTTCTAGACCATAATTATAGCCTTCATAATAAGCCGTTGGGCAGGCATGCATTTTCAATCGATTTTTCCGCAATACTCGAAAGTTTTTAACGAGCATTAGTCATGCAACTGGTTTCGGAGGAGCGTCTTTTTAAGTACAAAATCATTGCGGAAATTGTCCTTAGTTTCCTACCCACCCGAATACACTTCTAATCACAATCCATGTACAATTAGCCATTTCCGCATTAAAACATTCTATGCTGAATTCTATGAAGGGACTACGTACATTTAACATTATAAGTAAAAATGAGATTTTTATTATAAATTTTATAAATCATTTTGTTAATTTTTACTAGCATTTATCAATTTAGAAGTTCTTAGCCATTTTTATTATGAGAAAAGTTTTAGGTATAAATTCACCACGATCATACTTTCGAAATCTAATAAGTACAGTTAAGGGACTTTAAACTGACATCTTATTAATGTCCAAAATACTAAATCATTAATACTGATTAAACTTCTACATTTAAGTTCAGAAAAATATTTTCATCAAGTCAGAGTATGAAGAATTTCTTCGAATATAAAGAGTTCGTCTTCATTTCCTTAAGCTACTTCAGTTCAGTGTGTAGGCACAAAACTGAAATTTTCACTCTGTTTCTATGCGCTGAAAATTAAAGATTTAAGACAAGTATATCGTAATTATTGAAAGTCAAACATTTAAAAGAGTTTTTCTGTGCTAAAACTTCGGAAAAAGAAACCTGAATGACCGTACCGTTTGTTTTATATAGAGCTTTACGTGAATATCTTTCCGATGTAAGGTAGAGATAGCAACTGTTTCTACTGTTTTGCTAAGCATATGTTCTATAATGCTTCCAAAATCCCCCTCTTTTTATTTTAGTCCTGCAGGAAATTGTCAACGAAATATTCCAATTCTAGCGCTTCCCAAGCGGAAGAAGTGAACAACAGAATTGTACAAAAATAAAAACAATAAAAAAATCTATCTCATTTGTAAGAAAGTAAAACATAATTTTTTGGTTTATGATGGAATATAGTGATAAACATGCCCGATGTTATTACAGTTGTTAAAGGTTACATATAACTACACATGTAACTGACTTCTAATAACCTTCTGCAATTATATCAATATATATAGTCGTAAAATTCAAATTTCGTTGTTTTTTTATTCTAAGTGTATATTACATTATATAAATTCATAATTCACTGATAATATATTATGCATAATACAAAAAATTATCAATATTTCAAACTTTATATTTTTAATAATTTGTCTTGCATTTGTTGCATATTTGTTCAATTTACCTAAAAATGTTAAACCAAGTGAATTTTTCCTGCCCATTTGCATAAAACTTGTAGGACTGCTATTTAGCCACAGAAGTAACTTTAATATATCAGTTGTATACAAGGAAAAATATACAGAAGGTAGTTAAACTTATATAACAGCTAATTGTGAAAGAAAAATCAGAGTTGCATAGCTCTTAAATCTCTCTCGGTAAAAAGAGAGCTTTTTTTTTTTAATTGATCAGGTTTAAATAATTATATTACCTATTAGAAAATAATTATAGTGAATACTGTAGTGGCGACATCTCATCTAATTCGCTTTCTGAAAGAGACCTGTATTTTTTAGAATAAAAGCCAATACCTGCCAGTGAACAGCACCTTTCTAAGACCACCACATTCACAGAGCTCCGAAATCCTCTAAAACCGTGTATGGTCGCATTTGAAGTGGGTTCAATGCACTTTTAATAAAGCATGTACGTATTAATCTTCATTAAGCAACTGTCGCATTTCTATTTTCTTTCAAAGCAGCAGAATCGTGGTTCCATTGCTTTAGAAATATGCGAAAATAAAAAAAAAAAAAAAAGGGAACACAATATAACAAAAAAGTAACTGGATTTAGACACACACGTTTTGAACGTGCCTGAAATTTATTATTCTTTTCATAATTATTTGTCAAAGGGAAATATTTCACAAATATTAGAAAAAAGCTAAGTCTCAAAGTAATGAGGGTCATCCCTCTAAACCGTTATAATTCACGAAAATGGGTGTTCGCTTTACCGTAAAGTGACTTTTCGAGCAGCGGATGAAACTGGAAACAGAATCGGGTAAGGAAAGGCAGCATACGAAACGGCGCTACTTCAATCTGGAAATGAAACGGGAAAGGATGAAACGACACTAAACCTAAACAATATGGGCAATGCTATATACTGTAATAAAGTTTGTAGATTTATGTTTCTTATACTGTTATTTACATTTCTACGCAGCGGATTATTTTACTTAAAATTTTTGAAAGCAGGTAAGATGAAAAATGAGCAATCACCTTCGGCGGGAATCGAACCACGGACCTCTGGAATACCGACCCAGCGTGCAGAATCACTACACCACGAAGGCACGCTAGGAAGGCGGGAAAAATACCTTATATACTCCAACTTTTAAAGAGCGACTGGGGTTTTTATGGGACCCAGTCGCCAAATCCTGGGTGTGGAGAGTCATCATCCACAACTCTTTTAGTTCGGGCGCCACTGCAGAGACAGGACTTTTGAAAGCAGGCAAGACGGAAAATGAGCAATCACCATCGCCGAGAATCGAACCACGGACCTCTGGAATACCGGCCCGGCGTGCAGAATCACTACACCACGAAGGAACGCTAGAAAGGCGAGAGAAATACCTTATAAACTGATACATTTTTCTTTTATTCGAATAAAATATTTATATGTTACGAACATGATTTGGTTCAAATGATTTTCCGAAGAAGTACCTATCCGGTCTACCTATCTATTTATAGGAAGTACCTATCCTTTGCTTTCATGCGATGTAATTAGATCTCATTGTCAAAACTTGGCGACTTCTCGGGCAGGCGTGAAGATGAACACAACAGGGAAAGGGTATACAAGCCCATTTAATTAAGCACAACTCCTTAACAGAAAGGCACGGATATATAACAGCACCAACTTCTTGCGGCGAGAATTTAAAAACAATTTAACAGTAAATTCAAAAAGTAAAGATGTAGTGCTAGACTACATAATTTAATGTAATCTAGCAGGCTGACTCAAAAACCTCCGCTGGCGATATACTAGCTAGACGGCCAGAATGCGTAGCCGCTACTAAGATTAACAACTGGACGACAAAATAGCAGAGGTGGGCTTCAATAGCGAAATCACGCTCTGTCTAACCTTTTTGTTTCAACCGTTTAAAAACTCTCGTTCACCTACTTAATCTGCATCCTGGCGAGGAAATAAGAGAATTTGGAAAACATACCAAAATTAAAATAACTGGTTAGTAAAACTAAAGGAAACTCTATACCATCTTATAAATGCCAGTGCAGATTTTTAAGTGTAACTCATTATTTTTAAAAAGTATTAACTGCAAAAGTAAATATTTGTAATATACTTCAAGCCCCATAGCAAGACATATTGCTTAAAAAATAAACATCATTCATGAATGTCATCATAATCGTTTCATATAATCAGATTTACGAACTGACTGCTAGCATATCACACTGCAGATTATGTGGAAGTTTTAGTTTTTTCATCGAAACTTCCCAAACTTTGGATGGAATTTTTTCCTTATTCCATGTTAGTTTAATAATACGGTTATCAGGGATCTTCAATTTTTTTGGTAGGAACTAATCTCTGTCTCTTAACATGCATACATCATTTCATAAATTAATAGTCAGTAAATTTTCTAATGTTACCTAAAAATGTTAAAACCAAGTGAATTTTTCCTGCCCATTTTCACAAAACTTGTAGGACTGCTATTTAGTCACAGAAGTAACTTTTGTTGCAAACTTTTAATGCCTCTCATGCAAAGAAATACGACTACTTTATAAATAATGATACTTATATATTTAGAAAGGTATAAAAAAATTTGATAAATTAATTACATACCAGGGAAGTTGCAAAAGTGAGTCCGACGTTTTTCCAATTCTGGATTATTCCTTCTGTTATACTTTGGCTGCGAAGGAATCTCACCGACATTTTTCGACCCAGAAAATGGAGTCGGATATGGAGGTGGTGGTGTTTTTCTGGGTAAGCCATCAAGAGGAGGACTCGTGTTAGGTTCTGAAGGAGGCGGAGTCAGTGGCTCATATGTACCGTTACTATTTGGAATAACGTTCGTTGCTGAACCATTACTTCCCATTCTATAGCATGGTTGTCTAGGGGAATCGGTGAACTGTTGATGACCATGTGGTGCATGCTGCAGACCTGGTGCTGATGATGGGATGGATGGTGAGTTCGGGTAGGCGGTGACAGCGGTAGATGGAATTCGAGGCCTGAAACAATCATCTTTGGCTACTGGAGATGGGACGCTTCCCATAAACATCTCCTGATCTGGAGCATTGTACCCATTATTATTTGTACCACTGACCGTATATGGGCAATGATTACGAACAATTTCTGTCTTTACAGATACAGCTTCTTGGCTGGAAGGCAACACAGATGCAGCACTATCTAATTTGTGACGTACACTAGGACAATGTTCACCAAAGGCAGCAGGTTTAACGAAGATATCGGTCGAACAATCAGCCTTGGCATTCTGATGAGAATGATGATACAATACATTATTCAAATGACTTCCTCCTTGATGATAACTGGAATTTACACCAGAGTAATTAATCGAATTAATTTCTCCAATAGAGTTGCCATTAGAGTTATTGTAACTCATTCTCATGTCAGTATTACAATGGTTATTGTAACAAGAACTACTTCCATTATTGCCGAAATTTGGACCGTACTCTGCATTCGGACTATGATAATTCAGTCTGAGATCATTTTGATAAGCTATAGCTGTTCTGTTAAAGTTCTGGCTGAGCTCTGAAGCGGAAACGGCCATTCTGCAGGAAGTGTCAGGGTAACTGTACATCGACTGGGTACCAGACGTTTGGCTCATGAAGTACGCTGGATTCCCAAAATGACCAGATTGTGTATAACCATTGTTCAAACCACCCCCTATCATTCCTTCATGTGGTCCATTATTCACTCTGCTCTGTGCCATAAACATTGTAGCGGGTGTTGTTAATTTTTCGCTTTTATCACTTCTAAAATGAAAATTCACCTCTTGATTTAAAGTTTTCTTGCTATCTAAATGCCAGTTCGGATTACTTTCTGAATACCATGAGTTTCTACTCAGATCCTGATTAGATTCACTTACTACTGCCTCTAAACTATTGGAAATACCTTCTCTAGTACTGTTATAACAATCTTCAGTAAAGCCGTAGTTTTCAGCATTTAAATAAACGTTGCAAACACTCTTGCGGTAACTTTCAAATGTTTTTATGAAATCACTCACACACTCATCTCCACTGGCATTTTCTACGCTCTGCTCTTTGGAAATTTCATGTCCCGTTCTTTGAGAATCGGCAGTAAAAGATTCCTGCCTGCTATTTCTGATGTGGTTAGGTGATTTTGAGATCGCTTCCAGGACTAGATTACCAAAACATGATGCAGTGTTCTTCTCACTCACCTGAAAGGAATGAAAAAGTTAGTTGCTGCATAATAATACTTTTCTAACTGAAATGCATAGAAATATCTTAGAGTTAGAGCGGGTATAAATTATTTCCTGTAAATTGCTTTTGCTAATTAAAGAAACTTTTTAGTATTATATTGGTTTGTTTAATTAGAGCAAAACATACTAAGGTCTGCTAGGAGAAGAATGATTTCATAGAGGACTTTATATTGGGAACTGCTCAAATTCGTATTACACATGAGAAAAACCATGCAGCTAGCTTTTAAAGGTAATAAGAAAGCAATGAGGATTACCAGCGTTTTCCTACTTTGACAACTCGGCTACTTGTAATTCAAGTGGACTGGTTTTAATCTCCAAGTATTTAATGTCTGTATAATTAATATAAATGTTACTAAAAAACTGCTCTTTTGGCACACCTCGGCTAAGCACAAACTGAATCCATTTAAACTTAAAACTCAAGTAATTTATTTAAGCTGACACTATGTTAGATTTACTCGTTTAAATATTTCCTTCATTTTTATGCTTTTGTTAAAGTTAATAAAATTTTTCTAAGTAACAATATTATATTTATTGCAAAATTTAAAATTTGTTATTAATTGTCTAATTATGTAAGCTTTCCTTCATTAAGAGATATTAACCATATGAAAATTCTGAGTTTCAAGCCTCTGTCAAACAACCTGATAATAAAATCAGAACATGAAAAGATGATGTATTACATGATAAAATGAATCGTTTACAAGTATTAATTTCGCTAGCTTTCTATGCATATAAAACAATTATAAATTTTTTTAAGATTATCCTATCCTTGAAAAAATAATGTATAGAATTAAAAATGCTACTAAGCAATTAGGAGGGAGAACGCGTAAATATTTGATATTATTTGTATTATTAAAGTTCAAAAATATTTAGCAAATTCGATTTTTAAAAAGGAAATGGAAAAATAATTAAGGAGTCAAAAATACAATAGGATAAACAAATAAAAACTATTAATTATCCCTTACTTAATGCTTCAAATACAACTTTTCAAAGGGTTAAATATTTAAAACATTACACCTGGATAATCGGTGAATGATGAATATACGTTTCGTTCATCCTATCACTGAGAACCCTACTGCCACTAAATATTTATCCAAAAATGTTAACTAATACTCCTTTAATAATATGTAATAAATTTTATACGCCATGTGTGTTGCATTCGCTGATGTTACTTAAGTTTATGCAGTAACAAATTAAATGAGCTATATCATAACTCTTTGGGTGATTACACCGAGAATAAAAAAGACATGTAAATTTTACCAAGATGTGGAAATGTTTTTCAGAATGTGTTAATCTCCCCCTTTTTTCTTAAATTTAAATTACAACGGGCCTAAATTATGTAAAGCAAACTCCACAGCTTAAAGTAACCTCGTTTGATTGGTGGAATAAAAGTATTAAATTTCAAATAACTGTGACATATTTAGCTTTTAAGCGTCTTAACTTTCACTAACCGAGAATTAACGAAGTGCATTTAAATGATTTACTGAATTATCTTTATTCGTTGAAAATTGAGATCAGTCATCATTATTTTTATTGCTTGGGGGAAGTCAAGTATCAAAGTCTCTGTCCCGAGCCTAAGGAATAGCAGCAGGTAGAAGAGGGGCATCGGCCGTACATTAATACACCGGAAAAATGAGCACCAAAACCAATTATACCCGGAAAAGGACTTCCATATTGCTTCATAACAGAACAATTCTTAGAGAAGAAAAATGATAGAAAAGACAGCCCCACACCAACTAAAAGATTCTTCGGGGGAAAATGCTTAACTAATAATAAACCGAAAACCGTAACCACAAAGCACTACTTGTCGGAACTTTATACGGGTATAAAAAGCCTCAAGGGGAAAAAAGGCACCAGCAGTAAGAACGACAGAAAGCGGAAGCATTGGAGATGAGACCGGAAGTTTGGGTGGATAAGAGAAACCGGAAGGAAGCTTGACATCCCAACAAGATGGACAATCGTCAGCGCAGAAATGGGGTGGTGGTTCACGGGGAGAGAAAGAGAATCCTCACAATCATACGGAATGTTTTTTAAAACAGGGTGCAAGGAACTAAGACGATTTTGGGCATTTCAATCGTATTTGGATTTTGAATAGATATCCATTGTATACCAGAGTCTTAGAATAATGCTATGAAGTGGTTTGTAGCAAAGAAGACTTTATACCTGCTTGGTAATTCCTAAACAAAACTTCATAACAAACATTTCTTTTTAAGACAAAGCGGCATATAAGAATAAAAAAAATATTTTAAAGACAGTGATACCTGATTATCACTGTTATTTAATGGAAGGATAATCGGAAAACACATGTATTCCAAAAAGTGACCAAGTAAAATTGTTAGTGATGCTTGGGAAAGGTGAAAATTAACTCTTCAGATTTCAATGAAACCCAAATACTATTCTAAATTAGTAATAGTGCAGTTTTTAAAATCGAATTTGATAATATTAATAAAATTCATATAGACTTTCAACCCCAGAAACAAATCAAATTTAGCTTCCTCTCCAGACAAGTCCTATTATATCCACTTTTTGGAGGTGGGGACGCCCATGTTGGCTTTCTTTCAAACAATAACATACGCAATTCAAAGCTATATCATTATAATTTAACATTTATTCACACATAATAGCTTAACAGTCTGTCTACACCTTCAAGGGTCCCCATAGTGGCTACCTTTAATATTTAATTCTGTCATTGTCTTCTTCGCGCTCTCCTGAGTTCCGAAATCGATGTATTGGTATGTTAAACTATTACTATAACAGGATTCACAGCATCGAAAATTTCCTTCAAAGCGTGATAGATTTTCGATGAGATCAATCCTAAATAAGACAGAAGTAAAGTGAAGTAATTCTAAAGGAAATAAGAAATTTTTAGAAGTTAAAAAAAGTAACAATTTTTTTAAGTAAAAAAGTAATAACTTTTTTTAATAAAAAGGTAATAAATTTTTGGAAGTAAAGAACACTTTAGTTAGCAAACACTTTTTCATAAGTGTGACTTAGCCTAATTCGGTCACTGCGGCAAAGTCTTATTCAAAGCAATGCTGAAAAGATGCAAACCACAAGTGTTCTGCAATTTATACTATTACCACATAACACATATTTTTTTATTTTTTCCTTGCAGGGGATTTTAATAAATATGCTTCTCTTTAAATTATAGAGAAAATGAAATGAGAAAGAAGGTATTATAACTTCAAAGTATGTGTAAGAAAAAATTTTACAATCTTTATTTAACATATTATTTCCTATACTTGCACAATGAAAGAGCAAATTCCTTAACTAAGCTGCTAGAAATGCCTGTTCTGAAATTTTCAAACTTCATTTAGAAACGTACTGTTATGGCCATTATGTTCGCATCTCTTGAGCTATGATATTGCTACGAATTTTGTATTTAGATAGCTAATTTTATTAGAATTACAATTAAAATTGTTTTGTTTCCCCATCCAATGCAGCGCGTGATAAATTTTAAGAGAAGGCTACGCCGAAAAAGTAAAAATATAAGAGCACGTTCACTTAATATTGAATAAATGGATATCTCTTTTATTTGTATTGAAGTTGAATAAATGTAATTGACTACTGTGCTATCTGCAACCGTAATTCCATCCTCTTGTTGGTTTGCAGAAATCTCTAGAAACAAAGAAATTGCTAGAACTCTCTCGCGACCGACTGAGAGCTTTAAAAAACAGGAGAGAGACATCTCAGCTCACTTGTTTAGTCAACTGCTGTTGTTATTGTTGACAGGATTAGCTTTCTCTGAGCTGTGGATTGCGTCCTGTTTAACGTATTAATAGTTTGAAGGATAACTACTGTTTATTACTGCGTGATATTGTGAACACTTGTATAAACAATTATGAGAATAATTCCAGCGTTCTGTTAGATGTCTTTTGATAAAAATAAATTTTATTAACCTTTTATCGGACTTGTGCATTCAATCTATTACAAACCCAAACCCGTACGCACGCAACAATACTGAGATAGATCTAAAGAACTTGCACAATGAAAGAGGTAAATTTTCTAAAAGCTTATCTGAAATTTATATACTTTTAATTTTAAACTTATAATAAAAATTTATCGAATGTATAAAATCTCTTATAATTAGCAATCAATATGTATTTATATGCAAATTTTGTTATTACTATCATAAATTCATAATTCATAAATAGCTTAAGTATTTTACTAAGATCATTATGATAGCAATTCTCATAAATGAAAAAAATAATATCTATGCAAACACATTTTTAAACACTTTCGACGACTTGAATTTTAGTATATCAGAAAAATAAAAGGAGTTACTATATTCTTCACTTGATGAAAAAGCGTAATATTTTATTCGGTATTTCTACTCTTTACCAAGCAATAAATCTTTACAGTGAAAACTGCTATACGATTTGCGTATGCATTGAATTCTATTTCTCCTTTGCAACTACGCTTTATAGTGTTAACTAGAGTTTTTGTCATTAAAGTTTCCGTTAGTTTTTACTTTTCCTATTTAGTACAACTACTCTACATAACAGACACAGCACGCTGTTTATATGAACATTTCCACTTTAAGTAAATGATTTTCGTTACGAAACCCTAGATATGGAGAAAATCCTCTTATACATCCCTTTACAAAAGCAAAATGAAGCTCTTTTCCCAAAATAGATTTCGCGTTTTTTGTCGTAATTAATTGCCATTCTATCCTTTTAAATGAATGATAGAAGTTGATGTTTAGCTATCAAATTTGATAACAAAACAATAAAATACAGTAATTTAGAATAATAATGAAATTGTCTATTCACTTAAATTAAGATTAATAGTTTAAGCTTGAACACATTGCTTTTTACTGTCATCCTTAATAATGCTTTTCCTTTTTTTACGCCGTAAATACAATATATAATAGCAGTGTACACAATAGTGCAATATATAATAAAAAAAAAACTTTAGAATGACTAAAAAGTATTTTAAAACCAATAAAATTCTAAAGAAAT